AATGTAGAATCAGAGCAGGGGGCTGTGAGCAGCAGCATTTTACAGACGGGACTGAGGGCAGAAGGGAAAAGTCAACACTGGTGTGTGTGTTGGGGTTTCTGGTGTGTGTGTGAGTTAAGGTCTCTGGTGTGTGTGTGTGTTGGCTCTGGTGTGTGTGAGTTAAGGTCTCTGGTGTGTGTGTGTTTTGGGGGCTCTGGTGTGTGTGTGGGGATTTCTGGTGTGTGTGTGTGCATGTTGGGGTCTCTGGTGTGTGTGTGTGTTGGCTCTGGTGTGTGTGTTGGGGATTCTGGTGTGTGTTTTGGGGGATCTGGTGTTTTGGGGGCTCTGGTGTGTGTTGGAGTTTCTGGTGTGTGTGTTAAGATCTCTGGTGTGTGTGTGTTGGGGTCTCTGGTGTGTGTGTTGGGGGCTCTGGTGTGTGTGTTGGGGACCTCATCCAAGGTCACACAACTTGTGAATTTCTGGGTCCAGTTCAGGTTGGGGCCTGTAGGACTCTGGTTAAACATCTTGGGCCACATTAGAGGCCTCCCATCCCTTGCCCAAGGTGCCCCATCCTGGCAGAGAGCATCCCTCAGAGTGCGGAGGGTGAGCAGGGAGGCAGGCAGGGCTCCAGGGACTTTGCTGCATCTGCATCCACGGACTGACATCCCCTGAGAGTGACCACATCCGTCAGGACACCCCAACTCTGCCCCAAATCCCTGCACATTGGACCCAGCCAGGAAGACAGGTCTGCAGGGGACGGGAAGGTGTGTCCAGCCACCAGAGCTCACACCACACCTGCTCTCTGTCATTTGCTCAGCAAACTCCCACAAAGCTCTCCCATGTGCCAGGCTCTGCCCTGGGCTTGGAGAGAGGCTGCCAAAAGGAACCACCATTGAGAAGATCTGGTCCCCAGCAGGCCTCGGGTCTCTTCAGCTCCTCCCTGGGCAGCATGGCCCTGAGCCTCACTTTACCCAACTGTAAAATGGAGTCATCGTCTCTGTTTTCCTCTCAGTGAAGATGCAAGAACTGGGCAATCCCACGGGTCCACCAGGGCGTTGACAAGGCAAGTGCTAGGGCAGAGCACTCCGCCCAGGAAGCAGAAGATGAAGGTTCCTGTCTTGTCCCCAGCCTGGATCTGTGCCCATTGCATTGTGTGGACGCACCACGCTGTGTTTCTCCATCACCTTTCCAGGAAACTTGGGCTGTTTCCACCTTCCAGCCATTATCAGTAAAGCTGCGTGAACCTTCGCAACCACGTCTCCTGGTGAACACACACATCTCTCTTGGGTATTGTGTGAATGTCCCGTAGCTGCTGTGATAAACTATCACAAATGCAGTGACTTAAAACAACGCAGATTTAGTCTTGTACAGATCCGGAGGACAGCAGTTGGAAAGGAGACTCATGAACACCGCATGGCAAGGCATCAGCAGCACAGGGCCCTGCTGGAGGCTGCAGGGGTGGGTCCATTTCCTTGCCTGCTCCAGTTCCCAGAGGCGCCCACATTCCTCGGCTTGTGGCCCCTTCCAGATGCAAGGACATCTCTCCTACCTCTGCTCCCGTGGCCACATCCCTTCCGCTGACTGAGCCTCCTGCCTTCCTCACTTTGGACCCTGTGATGGCATCAAGCCCAGCCAGTTAATCCAGGCTCATCTCCCTCTCCCAAAACCCTCAACTCTGTCGTGTCAGCAGAGTCTCTTTCTCCATGTTGAGGCAGCGTTCCTTGGGATGGCCATCTTGCCTCGAATAAGCTCCTCGATGTCCCTGTACTGTCTGCAGGGACACATTTACAAAGTAGGGTTAATAGCATCTCCCCGTTTCAGGTCCTTGTGAGACTCCCTTAAAAAATATGTGAAGGCGGCCAGGTGCAGTGGCTCACGCCTGTAATCCCAGTACTTTGGGAGGCCTAGGTGGGTGGATCACCTGAGGTCAGGAGTTTGAGACTAGCTTGACCAACATGGTGAAACCCCATCTCTACTAAAAATACAAAAATTAGCCGGGTATCTTGGTGGGCACCTGTAATCCCAACTACTCCGGAGGCTGAGGCAGGAGAATTGTTTGAACTTGGGAGGCGGAGGTTACAGTGAGCCGAGATCACGCCATTGACTGGAAGACAGAGACTCTGTCTCAAAAAAAAAGGAAAAGCAAAATACGTGAAGGCTCCCAGCCCCACACCCCACGTGCATACAGTCAGCGCCAACTAACAGAAGCTGTTGCCACTGCTGGAGAACACATTGTCTCCAGTTCACCTGCAGTGAGGCGTGTTGTGCCTCATGACTCCTCTGCTTTTGTCGGCAGGAAGGGTTATTGTCACAGACGTTTGCATTCTGGAAGCTTTCATTGTTATTCAAATTGCCAGGTGCTCTGTTATCTTCCCACTTAGGATGCAGGCGCCAGCCCGCCAGCGAGGCCTGCCAGCTGCAGACGCTTCTCACCCCGTGGGCCCTGCTCCCGGTTCCAGGCTCAGCTCCTCTCTCAGCAGGGCTGCTAGGGTCAGCAGGGCAGCCTGCTGCTCCCCAGCCTGTCCAGGCCACTGCCCTGGATGAGAGGGGCTGGCTTTGTGGCCTGTGGTCAGCAGCACAGGCCAAGCTCCACTGCTAGCTAGATATGCAGTCCTGGGCTAGTGACTTTGTCTCTCTGAGCCTCAGTGTCCTCATCAGCAAGTTGCAGGGACTAGTGGTCCCCACCCCTGAGGCTGCCGAGAGAACTGAGGCTACACATGCATGGGAAGTGCTTGGCACGCTGCCTGGCGCAGAGGAGATAACAGTGCCCTGCAGCCCTGATCTTGCCGCTATGAGAATTAGGAATGATCTTCCATGTCGACTCCCCACAGCCTCGGGATCAGGTCCAGACACCTTCCCCTGGCAGATGAAGGCCTTGTGGCTGCCGCCTCTCCAGACTCAACCCTGCCAGAAGCATCTTGTGCTGTGACAGCCGTGCTCCTTGTGATCCCCTGAATGGCCTTGGCTGAGGCTGTTCCCTCCGCCCGGAGTGCCCTCCCTGTTGTCCCAACAAACCTTGTCCAGGGCCCAGCTCTGTGGCTGCTCCCAAGAACGTTTCCCCCAATCCCCACCCTGGCCAGGGCCCCAAGACTGCCAGACACTCGCCCCTGACACAGCATGGGTCTGCTGCTCTTATTTCGGGGTGCTGGTGTGGCTCCCCCACCAGCTTGGAGCTCTCAAGGGCAGGGCCCACACCTGACTCAGTTCTGAGCCCCCAGCACCCAGCCCAGGCCTGGCCAAAGGTGCCACAGTCCCGGCTTATGGAAGGCCTAGTGCGAGGGACCACAAGTTGACAGTGAGTGAGGGGAGTGCTGGTGGGCGTGGGCCTGGGCCTGGGGTCCACGGGACTGGCAGTGAGGGGCGCAGCGGCCTGCAGAGTGCCTAGGAGGACACGTAACCCCCGCATCAGGGCAGGCGAGTCCTTCGTGGCAGGAGTCAGTGGCCCCACAGGAACAGCTTCCTGCACGCACAGGCTACAGCCCCGCATGTGACCAAGGCGAGCTTGCCATGAAAGCAGAACAAGAGTTGACATTTGCCAAAGATTCCTTCCAGAAGGCTGTGCAATGAGGAAGCGTTCCTGGGGCTACTGTGGGCTGATGGGCTGGGCTGTGTCCACAGGAGTGATAGCCCCACCGGGCGGCAGTGAGGGTGGCCTAGAGGAGTATTAGGTGGGTGCCTAAGGCCCAGAGAGGTTAATAACTTGCCCAGGGTCACACAGCTTGTGAGGGGCAGAGCTGGGACCTGAACCCAGGCTTGTCTGATGTTGAGGCCAGGGTCATCTCTGCCATGGGACTCGACAGTACCGTGTGGGTACAGGGTGTTACAAAGGCCTGCGGGAGTCAGACAAGCTGCACAGAAGGTGTGCCCAGTGAGTGAGGTCTTGAAGGATGTATAGGAGTTTTCGAGGTGGAGATAGGGGAGGGTGTTCCCAGTAGTGTAAAGAGCACACTGGGGCTTTCTGGGAAGAGTACTTTGGAGTGGAGACCACAAAACTGAAAGCTGTAACAGTTCTGTTGGTAAGAGGCCCTGAGGCCCAGCTAAGTCATCAAAGCTTTACCCTTTAAGAAACTATAAGTAGAATTTTTTTTAAGTCATTGATTTTGAAATATTTCATTTTCTGCAAGATAATCCATATAGTGTGTGTGTGTATATATATTTTTTATACCTCATATATATATACATATATATACACACATATATATGAGGTATAAAAAGGAATGAAGCAAACACCACGTCCTCACCAATGGCATGAGAAATAGAGCCGCGTCAGTGCCATAGCAGCCCTCAGCATGCCCCGGTGGCAGCCCTTCCCTCCCGGGTCCACCAGCCTGAGTTTTGTGCTTGTCATCCCCAAACAGAGATGTGTCCCCGGGGAGTGACCGAAGCCACTTTGCCCTCCAGGGAAACCGCTCTGGGGAATGCAAAGACTGCCATGCAGGGGTAACCATCAGGAGGCCTTGGCCAAAGTCAGGGGTGATGCTGCCCGCACCCCAGAATGGACAACCTCTTTTCCATGTCACCCTGAGCAGCAAAAAGGAGTGAGGAGGGGCATGGCTGCTGCCACCCTTATCCCAGAAGGGCCACCGCGGGCCAGGAAGGCCAGACTGTGGCCCACAGCAAGCGTTTGGCTCTGCGTTGTAAAAGTTTTCCAGGTAACTGAGCGGCTTAAAAGGGAATGGCCTGTAAAGGAGTGAGCTTACCGTTCCTGCAGAAACCAAGCAAAGGCCTCGACCATCACCTGGACCTCCTCTCCAAGCCGCCTCTGACCTTCTGTCTCTCTTCCCTCAGTCCCTGGGCTCCCTCTGTCCCAACCTTTACCAGCCTAATGGCACTGTCTGCACCTGCAGACAGGGTCTCCAAGGCCAGAGGCTGAATTGTCACCAGGTCCTGGGCTGAGAATGAGTCCGTGTCACATTCTTTCCTTCCTGTGCAGCATGGAGGTTGGAGGTGGGCTCTCAAGTCAGGCCATAACCAAACACATGTCCAGCCTCTTGCAGAATCCGAATGAACAGAGGGGGGTCTGGTAGGAAGAAAGTGACTTTATTGCAGAGCTTGGTGAAGGGGAAACAGTACAGGCTCCTGATTTAAGGGAATCGCTTCAGCTTTCGGGGAGGAAAGTGGGATCTTTAAAGGGGAACTTGGTGTGAAAGGCATGCAGGGGAGGGGGGGTGAGGAGGTGCAGGGTCCACCTGACTTGCTTGTATGTCTTCTCAGCCAGGTAGTCTGGAGGGCGCCATGGTGGACAGAGCTAGGCTGTAAACTGACCGTCCTCTTGAGGCAATCTCCTGGTGGGGGAGGATCCCAGAGGGTGCCTGGTTTGGTTCAACATTTTGTCCTGAGAATTTCTAAGCAAATCGAACTGTAGTTAGATACGCTTGCAGTGCAGGGAGCGCCTGGTGGAGGAGAGGTAAACGTTATAATTGCATTCCTGAAGAGCTAAGAGGTGAACACACAGGGAAAAAGAAAAGTAAAGAACAATTCTAGGAAAATTGGACACTAGGTTTCAAGCCCCCCCTACACTGAAATTCTGACTTTGTGGTCCAGCCATCACAAAGATCGGCAGAACCTTGGGTCATCTCCCCTATTTTGGCACATATACTTCTATTAATGCAACCCAAAGTCCTTTTCCATCTCAGCTCCCCTTGGCATGTGAGAGTGTCTGCCTGTCCCCACACACAGCCATGCCATGCACAAGCCCAGGGGCAGGAAGTGCTTCTTGGAACTCTTTTGTACAACCGAGGGCTCCACCCAGGAAGCAGCCCCTGTCCTGCTATTTCCCAGCTCCCCTGGGCCTCTGGCTGTTTTTCTTTTTCAATAATTTTTATTTTTTAAATTTATTATTTTTCTGAGACGTAGTCTTGCTCTGTTGCCCATGCTGGAGTGCAGTGGCACAATCTCAGCTCATTGCAACCTCCTCCTCCCGGGTTCAAGTGATTCTCCTGCCTCAGCCTCCTGAGTAGCTGGGATTATAGGTTGCGTGCCACTGCATCCGGCTAATTTTTTGTATGTTTAGTAGAGACGGGGTTTCACCATGTTCAAGCTGGTCTCGAACTCTTGTGACCCGCCCGCCTCGGCCTCCCAAAGTGCTGGGATTACAGGCGTGAGTCACCGCACCTGGCCTGCTTCTGGCCGTTTCTACCATGTGGCCACCCTGTTGCAAGTTTCCACCTAAGAACGTAGCCGGGCGGGTGAGGACATACTTCCCTTTTTCATGAGCCTTGTGTGATGTTCTCAGCTTTTCAGCCTCATAGTGGAGTCAGCCAGGCTTCATCCTGGTTTCCAAACCTTGGGTCGAGAATGTTGAGCTGGTCACACCTCCTGGTCCCTAGCTCCCACATCAGTGGCTGTGATGGGCCCCTTACTGTACCTACCCCCCGTCCCCCCACCCTCTATGCCTACTCCATCCACCCCACTCTTTTGTCTTAATTGAGCGTGATGCCCAAATTATGCAAATGCTGGGAACATGTGTGTTCACTTTTCATGTATAGTATTTCTTACCTTTGACCCAACATTTTGTGTGCAAGACCTATGCATTCTGTCACAGGGGCTCTTGCATCCTCACTTCTGAGAACTGTATGGAAGACTGCGTAGACACCATGGGATACTACGCAGCCATAAAAAAAAGAACAAGATCATGTCCTTTGCAGGGACATGTATGGAGCTGGAAGCCATTACTCTTGGCAAACTAACCCAGGAAAAGAAAATCCAATACCACATGCTCTCACTTATAAGTGGGAGCTAAATGATGAGAACACATGGATAGATAGAGGGGAACGACACACACGAGGGCCCACTGGAGGGCAGAAGGTGGGAAGAGGGAGAGGACCAGGAAAAATAACTAATGGGTACTAGGTTTCATGTCTGGGTGATGAAATAATCTGTACAACAAACCCCCATGACACACATTTAGATGTGTCACAAACCTGCACGTCCTTGCACGTATACCCCTGAACTTAAAAGATTTTTGTTTTTGAGATGATCTCGCTCTGCCACCCAGACTGGAGTGCAGTGGCACGATCTCAGCTCATTGCAACCTCTACCCCCAGGATTCGAGTGATTCTCCTGCCTCAGCCTCCCAAGTAGCTGGGACTACAGGTGCCCATCACCATGCCTGGCTAAGTTTTGTATTTATTTAGAGACAGAGTTTCATTCTTTTGGCCCAGGCTGGAGTGCAATGGCATGATCTCAGCTCACCGCAACCTCCATCTCCTGGGTTCAAGCAATTCTCCTGCCTCAGCCTCCCGAGTAGCTGGGATTACAGGTGCGTGCCACCACGCCTGGCTTATTTTTGTGTTTTTGGTAGAGATGGGGGTTTCACCATGTTGGTCAGGTTGGTTTCGAACTCCTGACCTGTTGATCCGCCTGCCTCGGCCTCCCAAAATGCTGGGATTATAGGTGTGAGCCACTGTGCCCGGCCTTAAATGTGTTTTAAGAAGCAGCTCATGCTGATGCAGTTCCCTAGGAAGGTGACGGGTTGACCCTGAAGACCAGCTCCAGAACTTCTTGGGGAAGTACACGCAGAGAGAGGTTGCCGGATCGTCTGCAGAGCACGGTGGCGAGTCCCCTTCGCGGGCGTTCACTTACCTTTCAAATCATCTGATCTCCTAAGTTTGGCTCATTTGGTGGATTTAAAGTGACATCTCACTGTCTTACGAATTTTGTTATCTAGGTAATGAATATTTTTTTTTAAAGCAGTTTTAGGTTTACAGAAAAATTGAGTGGAAAGTACAGAAATTGCCCAGGGGAGGAAGGTGGGAATTTGAGACTAAAGTTCAGGGCAGAGGGCTCAGCGTGTAAGTGGCATTAATGCCACAAATCATGAATCTCGATGACCAACGCCCAGGGAAGCAGAGCAGACCATGGGAGGTGGCTGAGGACAGCTGTCCCAGCCTTCCTGGTCTCTGCGTGACTCTCCGTTGTGCGGGAGCTCTTGTTTTTGACCTGGCATCCTGCTGATGGACACTTCACTGATCATAATCTTCTGCTGTGACCCACCTTTCTGTGATGAATGTGCTTGTACCTATGTTGCCCTTGTGAGCACATCTGTAGGATAATCGTTACATGAGACTGCTGGCCCAGAGGACGTGGGCATCTGTACTACAGGCATGTGTCAAATTGCCTTCCACAGAAATGACCCCAGCGTCCCCCCGACCAGCAGTGAAGCAGAAACTCAAACCAACACACGCGCCGGGTGCTCAGCACTTTTGATCTGTGTCAGGGTGGCAAGTGAAGGAATGTGGATGTTCCCTTTTGTCTGCACTCTGAAATCCTCTCTCATTATGGCTTTAATTTGCATTTCTCTTATTTTAGACTTTGGATTTGCTATTTGACAGTTTCTGTCTTTCTTCTTGGCAATTGGTCTGTTTAGATTCTCCCTTCCCGGATCCTTTGGGTAATTTCTCTTTTCTTGGAAATTGATCCATTTCTTGGAGGCGTCCTGATTTCTGTCGAGTTGAGCAGGCAGTCGCCTTTGTTCTTCTGTTTGTTCAGTTCATCTTAATTGAGTGCCGACCCTGTGCCAGGCATCGTTATTGGCCCGGGGGATACAGTCATGGCCAAAAGCAGCAAAAAGCCTGCTTTTATGGAGACCGCAGACAATTTTTAAAATGTGTATGTGAAATATATGGACTTTTAGACAGTGATAATGCGTTTGAGATAGAGGATAATTTTAAACAGGTGGCCAAGGGGCTCACTAAAAAGGTGACTTAAAGGAGATCGGGGATTCAGCCTTGGGTTTATCTGGGAGAAGAGACAGGAGCATGCTGGTACAGATGGTGTATTAGTCAGTGTGCTCCAGAGAAACAGAACTAATCACATATAGACACATGTGAAGACACGCACTGTAGGGAATTGGCTCCTGCAGCTATGCAGGTTGCAGAATCCAAAGGTCTGCAATTAGCAAGCTGGAGACCCAGAAGAACCGTGGTGTGAGTTCCAGTGTGAGTTGAGGATCTGAGACCCAGGAGAGTCGATGGTGTGAGTTCCAGTGTGAGTTGAGGTTGAGCCAGGAATGTGTGAGTTGAGGGTCTGAGACCCAGGAGAGTCGATGGTGTGAGTTCCAGTGTGAGTTGAGGATCTGAGACCCAGGAGAGCTGATGGTGTGAGTTCCAGTGTGAGTTGAGGGTCTGAGACCCAGGAGAGCCGATGGTGTGAGTTCCACTTTGAGTTGAGAGCCTGAGACCCAGGAGAGCTGATGGTGTGAGTCGAGGGCCTGAGACCCAGGAGAGCCAATGGTGTGAATTTCAGTCCCAGCCTGAGTCTAAAGGGAGGAGAATGATGTCCCCACTTAAAGGCAGGCAGAGATAGCATGAATTCCCCCTTACTTGTTGGTTCTGTTAGGCCTCCAGTGGGTTGAATGAGGCCACCTGCACAGAGAAGGACACTGTTTTCCTTCATCTTCCAGGTCACATGTTCATCTCATCATGAAACACCTTCACGACACACCCAGAAAAATGTCTCACCAAATATCAGGGCATCCTGTGGCCCAGTCAAATTGACACAAAACAAACCATTACCATTGGAATGGAGAGAGTGCAAAGGAAAAGAGTGAGGAATAGGACAGGGAGGTGATGGAGTGGCAAGGGCTTTAGCTTCTGCTCTGAGTGAATCTGGGGAACCACTGAGGGTTTTGAGGAAAGGGGTGGGGTAATTGGACTTAGGTTTTCACAGGGCTCCTCTGGCTGCTGTGTTGAGAGCAGAGGGAAGGCGCTGACCAGCGCAGAGACCACTGCAAGAATCCTGCCAGCGTGGACCACAGTAGGAGTGGTGGAGGCAGCAGGAAGTGAAAGGAAGGGCCGACGGGATTTGCTCCTGGGTTAGATATGGAATGAGAGAGGAAGAGAGGGGTCAAAGATGACTCCAGGCCTCTGATGAGAGCAACTGGCAGGATGGAGGTGTATTTCCTGAGGTCAGGAAAATTGTGGGAAAAGCCGGATGGGGGAGGAAGGTTGGGATTTTAGTTTGGGGAATATTAAGTTTGAGGTGTCTATTAAATATCCATTTGGTGACATCGAGTAGACACGTTGGCCATCAGAATGGAGTTTAGGTGAGAGTTTGAGGCTCAAAAGTCATCGTATTTCCAGGCTGGGTTATAGTGTAAGACTCTGACTCTGTCTCAGAAAAAAAAGAAAAAATAGGCATCAACATATAGTGTTTAAATCCTTGAGAGGAGGTGAGATCCATCAGTGAGTAGAAAGAGTGGAGAAGAGGAGGTTGGGAAGATGTGGGCAGACCAGCAGTGGGAGGAGGAGGACCAGGAGAAGAAGACTGCAGTGTCCTGGAAGCAGGTGGATTGATCACTTGAGTCAGTACTGCTGGGAGGATTAGTGAAAGGGGGACTGATAAT